GAGTTCAATCCTAGGTACCAAAAAGATAAAAAACTTAATATAGTTGAATAAAGACTGCAAGTCTAGGGGCCGGGGAGATGGCTCAGTGGAGTAAGTGCTTCCCTGGCAAGCGCAAAGGCCTGAGTTCAATCCCTGGTTCCACGCATGGACCTGAGTTCAATCCCCAGTTCCACCAAAAAAAAAAAAAAAAAAAAAAAAAGACTGCAAGTCTACAATAAAGTGTTCATTTTCTTCCCCAAAATGCCTTCAATGTTTCTCAAAATACACACTTCTAGAACTGGAAATTAAAATCTTTGAAGTCCATAATACAATCTCAAACCCAGTCTATAATCTACCTTCTTTGCAAAGACTTCGAATAGTCATAAAAGGTCCCCACATAGGACTGATGCACATAGCCTCTTTATCACTACAATTTACGACAGGTTGAAAAAGGGTCTCACTACACAGCTCGGACTGTCTTGAACTCACTATGTAGCCCAGACTGGCCCAGAACTACTCACAACAATCCTCCTGCCTCAGCCTCCTAAGGCTGGCACTACGGATGTATGCCACCACACCAGGCTTTCATCAGGTATTTTCCAAACAGACTTATACTCCATCAAAGAAGCAGCAGCCTATGTAATTATTCGCACAATATAAACCTTTCTGGCCAGTTTGATGAAATGTATGCATTGAGAGCATTATATTGTAATATCTCATTTATTCCTTAACCAAGAATAAAGTAAAAATCTTTAGCATAAAGATTCTTAGTTTTGTGTGTGTGTGTGTGTGTGTGTGTGTGTGGCCAGCTCAGCCCACCAGGGGGCGGGGCTGGCTGGCATGTGGTGCTGGGGGATTGAACCGCGGTCCGTCTGTTTTGCCGAGCTTGTTCTAAGTAGGTGCTTTAGACCACTGAGCCATCTCACCAGCCCAGTTTCTTAGTTTTTTGAAATGGGCTCTCCTTGTGTATCCTCCTGCCTCTGAAGCACTGATGTGCACCACCATGCCAAGCTGCCATAAGTCTATGGATTAATGGGATCCTATTTAAATATCTTTTTTTGGGGGGGGGAGATGGCTCAGTAGGATAAGCGCTTGACTAGCAAACACAAGGATCAGAGTTCAATCCCCAGGTCCACAAAAAAAAAAAAAAAAAGTTTATACTCCAGGGGCTGGGGAGATAGCTCAGTTGAATAAGGAAGTGCAAGGCCCTCAGTTCAAACCCCGGTTCCGCCAAAAAAAAAAAAGCTTATACTCTAAATCTCACTCTCTGGTCACCTCTAGAAATGGGGTGAAAGAGGCAGCAAAGTGAGTTTTATAATACTTCATTCCTTTAAAAATAAACAAATGGGGGGCTGGTGAGATGGCTCAGTGGTCTAAAGCACCTACTTGGAACAAGTTCAGCAAAGCACAGGGACCACGGTTAGATCCCCAGCACCACATGCCAGCCAGCCCCGCCCCCTGGTGGGCTGAGCTGGCCACATACACACACACACAAATAAATAAAAAAATTAAAAAAAAGAAAAAAGAAAAAGAAACAAATGGGAATATTTTATTATGTAAATAAGAATCTTGGTATGAGTTTTGTGATTTGCACAAGAACACACCCTAAAAATAAATGTGCAAAACACCGAGCACCTGCACAACTGGAAAAGCTCAGATTCTGAGGACACAGAATAAAATACATCAGCACTGAATACAGGCGTGACCTCCTGTGTAGTGACTGACTCAATTTAAAAATGGACAGGAATTCATACAATGGTCAGTGATTTTCAGACAGTAAACCACCTCACTCAGCATCATCTGCAGCCAGTTGGGCTTGGGTTTCCTGGGAGAAGGTAGGACTTGATCTTTAGGGTTGAATCAGACTGGATTTTTATAACAGTCTTTCAAACAGTGAACACTTTTAAAGTCCAACTGCAGAGTCTAAAATAAATATACCCCATTTCAGTACAAAACACACTCAGTGGGCAGGGTAGAGATAGCTCAGTAGAATAAGTGCTTGCCTGGCAAGCGCAGGGTCCTTAGTTCAATCCCCAGTACCTTCAAAAAAAAGACTCAGAAAAATCCCAGCCACACATACACACACACCAATGTCAAAAAAGCCTTTCCTGGGCACCAGGGCATATTCAATTTCTGCTAGGCTACCTGCCATTTACAGAATCCTTACTTCCAGCTCCTAGACACAGAACACACTGGCATGAGTTCACTAAGCTAGGGGGTAGGTGGTGGGCACCTGTAGTCCCAGCACTCTGGAGTTCAAGGTCAGCCCAGGATACATAGTGAGCTTAAGGCCTGCTAAACTACAAGACCCAGTCTCAAGCAAGAGTTCAGCGCCAGTGTCACCTCCAACGTAGCAAAAGACTCGTTCTTTGTGGCTTCATAAAATATTGTTAATAACTTTGTTAATACAGAGGGGAACACAGAAGCAGGTAGTGTGCTCAAAGTCCCACACTAAACTATCTGTAAGTCCTCCTCAAAAATAGGAAAGAAGAAAAAAAAAAAGGAAAGCAGACCCTTCCCTTCTCAAGACCTAAGCAGGGACCCCACATCCCTGGAGAGAGGCTCTAGGGTGACCGTCCCGGCAGCCAGCCCAAAGCGGCTCTGCGTCACCAAGGCAGAGCTGAATTCACACGCGGCCAGTTGAACTGTGAGGCAAATGACTACAGAAACAACACAGGTCTTGTAAATGAACTACACACAAGATCCAAGCCCCTGCATTTAGATTTTCAGGTTATGATGATGGTTTCAGTACTCTGACATCACGCCCAGCTTGCCAATGCCAGGCACCCACTTCCTGAGGGTTGCTAAAGGAAAGCAGTCCCCCTGAAATGATCAGGGACAAGTCAGGCACCCAGGCCTCCTGTCCAAGCTCAGGTGGCATCAGTCACGAAAAGGGAAAGGCTCCCCAAATTATTTAGTGGCGTGGAGTTGATGGGAAGCTAAAAGCATATGGTAAAAATTGAGTCAGTTTACACACAGTGCAACACTAGGATTAGGGTCTCCGTCACATCAAGGGGTCAGTCTGCCATTCCCAGCCAGAAGCAATGACTGCCTAACAATATTCCGAAACTAAGATCACTGCCACAAAAGTAAAGAATATAGAAACCTTGAGCATTACTTTGTCACCTTTACACTCCAACGCATTAAGGTTAACAATTACCAAGTTTTCTTGTTTATTGAAAAGCTAGAACTAAAAAGAAAGGCTGCTCAAAACTGAGCAAACTTTTTAAAGGACATGTGGATTTTAAAAACCCAACTTTCTTAAAGCAATTTCAACCCGGCACCGCACATTTAAAGAAAAAGTTATTTTCAACAGTAACCAGGTACCACACTTTTCATCCTATCAAAGGAGCTTAAAACTTAGTGATTTAAAACTTTAGTAAGTCTAACAATGCTCAATACCTACAGTTTTGGCCCAAGTGAATCAGAGATGAACTTTTTTCTGGGTATACAAATTCTACTAAAATTCAAGTTCCCTCCCATGAGGTAAATAAGTTCTGTAGCACACAGTGAGCCCACTACCCTCCCCCACCCTCTATTTGATCCTAATCTACAAGTCAATTGGCTCCATCTTTTCAGTTCCAGGGATTTTCTAGAAGTAACGAAAAGAACATAGCAGAAAGTTACACATACACGTGATCCAACTTAAATGATCTAAAATGAAGACCCCAGCCCAGGTTCATACTTAGAAGTAACCTTTAAAAAGCAGGTACCAACAAATATATTATTAGAACTTCAACTTTTTTCCAATAGAAGTTATTAGCTCTTAACTCTGCCTCCTCCCTAAACACCAGGAGTGGAAAAGACGGTGTCACTCTTCCTCTACCACTCGAATTTTTAAAAGCCGCTGCGGTCTCCTACTCTCCTTTCCAAGGCAAAGGTATAAGGAATACAAACGCCAAATCTCACAAGTCTACTAGTAGATAAATTTACATCCCTTTCACATGGTCCTGGTTTTTGAACTCCAGTAAGTTCGCGGAAGTACAAGGTACTGGCCCAATACTAAGGTGAAGGAAAGGATCACGTGTTAAAAAAAAATTCATTTTATTCGATAGCTCAGTGAAATCCAGCCGGAAAGACTGCGTTACAGCCCTAAGACTGTGCGCATCCTGGTTCAAGCCGCATGTAGCTGCTCTAGTTTTTCCAGGGAGTTGAACCCCTGGGTGATCACGGTGGGATACCTAACCTGGGAAACCGGTTCCCGTAGAGATAGAAGCTGCAGGAGGCGGGAACAGCGCAAGAGTCCCAGCAGAGTAAAAGCAACTAGCAAGGTCACCATGATCCAGCCTCCACCTCGGGGTGCAACCTTGGGCCCACCAGCCGAAACGGTAATTCCCCGTGATCGCTAAGACCAGAACATGCTTTTTACAGTACCTGGATCAGCTTCAGAGCAGTTACAGTTCAAGACTGGAAGGTGGAGGTGCCTCAGATTTCAAATATCCAGAGGTCCCCTTACCAAACAGGAGGCGGAGGCCACGACTGCCTAGTTGTCCAAGCGACAAGAAAAAACACCAGTCCTCTCCTCCACCCGCGCGCACATGGAAAATGATCCACACAGGCACATGCACTACACAACCAACATCCACGCACCCAACCTCTTCCTGGCTCACTCAAGAGCACCAATCCACGACGTGCACAAATAAACTGAGAAAATGAAGGACAGAGGCCTCTGGCCGGCCCGCACAAAGAATCCACAACTATATAAACACACTCGTCTCTCCCTAGCTCCTGCCCGAGTGGATAAAATGACGTCCACATTTTGCCCCGCAGAAAGTGAAATACTTAAGTGGGAGGCTTGCGGCAAATAGAATCTAGGTCTTGACACTTTTTAGGTCATGATCTACCACCAGGTACAACGGCTGCACCACGTAAGCGAAAACAACCAAGCCAGAATGGAGAAGGTTCCCTCCCTCCCCTTTTTTTGAGATGGGTGCGCGTAACCCTCTGCAGCACGCACGCACACGGCTCGGGGCACACGCGCACCTACACAAGAACATCCCGCGAAAGCGCAGCCCACTCACCTCGTCGTCGTGGTGCTGGCAGAAGCCGAGGCGCTCGGGAAACACCGAGAGTATGGAGAAGGGTGCGCCGGGAAAGGACGGCCCGAGCCCCAGCTGCTGCGCCGCTGCCGCCGCCGCTGCGGCCGCGGGACCCGGGGGACCGCGCTCGATATAGTGGTCTTTGGTGAGGCGCACCCGCTGGTGCGCCCGGACGCAGTTGTCGCACAGGTGCTCCTGGCAGTCGAGGCAGCGCGACGAAGCTGCGTTGCCTTCATCGCACGAGCTGCAGCCATGGGGCCGGCGCAGAAGCAGCGCCGACGGCGAGGTGGCCGGGCCTCCAGGCGCGGAGCGCGAGGGCGCGGGTGGCGGAGGCGCGGGCGGCAGCGG